CAAAGGTAAACGGCTACAGCAGGATGTAAGCGAGATTGGCCATCCTGCAGAAAGCAATCTGCCAACCACCTGTAATCTATGGTGGTTCTATCATCACCTTTGCCTCATATCCATCGGCTTGCCTTGCTTGAATTTACTGCGAAAATGGAACAAGAAATGTCTAGATATATATATATACATCTAGGTGAATCGATTCTCCATTATCATATATGTATATATATGTATACAATATGTGTGTATGTATTCTTGTCTTCGAAGCAATCCCTAGATTTTATCTGCTATGATTCCACCTGTGGCACTTTTCTCAAGAAAACTCACATTTCATTTGAAAATTCTCGTTTTAAATCAAAATTTCAAGCGAGTAAACATTTCAGTAAGCTGTTGCGCGCATATAATTCTCGCTAAACTTTACGAGAGCGAAACATACTTTTTTTTTTGTTTTTCATTAATTATTCATGTTTTGTGAATAATAGACATGAAAATTAGATGTATTTTTATAGTTAGTTTTCTTGTTTCTTGGACTTTTAATCAATTTTTTAAATAATCAATTAGAAATTTAGATATTGATTATTTATTATTATTATTTTTTTATACATTTTCCCACTACCCATGCATTTTATTCTTAAAGTTAGAATTTTTTAAAATAAGAAAGAAAATTTAAATTAAGAAATAGTTATGAAAATAAATTTTTTCTTAATTTAAATAGTTTTAAATTTTTTTTTACCATTTTGCTTTATTGAATGCAAGTTATAAAAGAAAACATATAAAGAACACTTCGCGCATCTAACTCAAAGGCTATTTGACTGAGTTCTCTATTCCATCAACGCATTTTGGAACGTCAAAAGAGCTTTGAAAGATCCAAAAGTAATTGCAACATGCCTGAGGAAAGTTTAAAGATACGAAGCAGAAAAATAGCAAGGTGTTTTGTCTTTTTAAAAGGGGGTTAAGAAGTTCTCAACTTTCTTGTAGAGCAGTTACAACTCTCAAATTAGGAAAAATTTTTTTTTAAAAAAAAGAAAAAAAATTTCCTTATTACTTGAACAAACGAACCAGAATACATAATTGAAGGTTAAGAGTATAACAAAAAAATTAATAAACTATAAAAAATTTTTTCTCTAAATTTTAAAATTAAAGTTTTTAAGTTTAATTTATTATTAATAACAAAAGAAAATACACTTTTATCGAAAACGATATTCTAATTCTAAGAATGTTAATTTGACCTAAATTTTGAGGTTATGTTCGTTTCTTGGTCAGGGGAATTTGAGGTTATACTTTTCGGATACTCTTGAACCCAGCATTAATCCTCGGGACTAGCGGCTATATTAACAGTTAAAATTTATAAAAATTTTGAGGATATATGTTCATATGTTGGTTAAAGAAGGGTATTCCTCCAAAATTTGAGCTGAATTTTAAGGTTAAGTTCGTTTGTTAATTGGATGGGATATTTCCCGACAAAATTTAAGGTTATGTTTGTTTCTTGGTTAGGGGGGCAATTTCTTAATAAAATTTGACCTAAATTTGAAGTTATGTCTGTCGGAAATAGCTTCGAACTCAGCGGCAATCCTGGGGATTTGCGGCTTTATTCAGAGTCTTGAACCAGCGGCGGCAGCGATATATTTTTGTAATATAGGCACATTATATTATATCATATTATATTATAAAATAATATAAAAATATTATTGCACGAATAGGTTTTCCGACCATAACCTTAAATAAATAAGTCAATGTTTTCATTTTAAATTAAGAATTTTTTTTTTAGAGAAGAAGTTTTAAAATGCAATTTAAGTTACTTAAACTTAGAGAAGAAATTTTTTACAAAAACTGTTACCCCAGAAATAATGTCATGACATTTCAAAGTTGTGTTTTATTGGAAAAAGATAATTAGCATTACGACGATGGAAAAGGAAGTAAGTTTTTAAAATTTCATAAACTGAAATCGTATAGACTTTTTAATAATTCAAAAAAAAAAGAAAAATAGGAAAAAAATAAACTCGTACGATCGATAACAACACAGTCTGGCAGAAAACTTGGAGCGAGACTCTTTTTTTCTCAGGAGAAAAAACTATTATTCGTTCAGACAGGGCAGTAGGTGTAAGCAGTCTTGGCGGTGGGCCACCAAGTCAATGCAACAAGTTCTCTTTATTCTATAGTTTCACTGAGCCTAGCGACGACATATCGATGTTAATTTTCGTAATCGTTCTTTACGAACAGGTGGTTTGTCGTGTTCTAAATTTACCTTCTTTTCTACACCCCTTCCACCCCCTATCAAAAAAATAGGAAACAACTCAATCTCAAAATATATTTTATTTTTAAATTTATTAGTAAAAATATTTTCACCTCTAGAGACGTTCATGCATATATATATATTTTTTTTTGGTTAAATTGCTTTTACCAACAAACTTTCAAATAAATTATAAAGTTGTCCATAGGGAATTTTGTATATATATAATGCAACTTTTGTTGCCAAAATGTGATGATGATGTTCTTATAATATGAAACTCATCGTCCAGGGAGTTGAAACTTATTGAAAATGAAATTATAGTTATTTAATAAATGACGGGATAGCACGATTTTGAATTCATTGAAAAATAATTATAATCTAAATTTAAAAATAATATTCATATTATAACGTTGAATTTAATTTATTATTGATTTTTATTTTAAATTATTTATTATTATATTTTCAAGGCAATGAACGTTATCTACACTTTTCAATTATTAATTTTGCCAAGACGCCAAGTTGTTTTATGGAAAATAACTAAACCTAAAAAAATAGTTAAATAATCCGACAAGTAAATTTTATACCTAATTCTAATTAGGAAAAACTAAAACCAGTTCAGGAATTCCATTGTTAATTAACAGCAACAATAGACAATAAACACTATTAATTAGACGAAATTTATAACAATAACACTATTTATTAATATTCACTTCTAATTTTAGAAAAAGTTAAATAATGACAGAAGGCAGAAAGACAAGATTTATATTTTATTTATTCAATTATACTTTAATAATAATGAGATCGATTCTGAAGAAAACGACTCCTAATTAATTTATTGGGACTCACTATCCATTTGACGACGACAATGACTCCTCGTCTAATTTTTATGATTTTAAATTTTAATTATTTTACACGAAATAGAATAGAACACAACTTGACTCTACGAACACCAGAATGAAAATGAGAGTAAAATGGCTGACAAGTCAACATCGAAAGCGTCTCTAAACAGCGGCCTCTCTTCTCGGTGTCATTAAGATCAATTAATATTCAATAATATAATATCCGCGACCGATAATCAATACGCAGTCGTCGGTAACGCAGATCCCTGCACTTTCTGGTGTTCTTGAATATTTGAAACTCTTATCCAAATATATACACCAGGAAGCTCTTCCTCTTCCGTCCTCAATGTTTTTGTGATCCGGCGAGAATCCTCAGTGTCTCGCGAGAGTTTTCATAACAGAACGAAAGCACAAATCAGAATCGAATTTATTTATTACAAGTCGATTATTAATCTGACGACTTTGGCAAGTTGGTTTGTTAATACGTGAATTTATTTATTTTAACAAAATGAAGTGAGTATCAAAAGAAAACAATTTTTATAATTTATAACATTTTACAGCCATTATGGCTGGATTCTCACACTGGTGTTGTTTATTTACAAAATTTGTTTAAAAATATTTTCTTAAAGTCAAAACAAAATATTCTTAATTTAAGAAGTTTTTTTAAAAGAAATTTATTGTATACTAACATCAAAAGTATAATACATACTTGCAGTTTTATTTTCAACATCGATGAAAGGATCAATTATTCTTCTTTTAAAATAATATTCTAATTATACTTCTTTTCAGAATATTTCCATTATTCTATTTTTAAGTATATATTATACTCTAATTATACTTCATTTAAGAATATTGTTTACTTATTATTTTTGTTTAAAGTATATTATATTTTAATTATTTTTTTTAAGAATATTATTTGGTACATATGTGACCTGGACAGTTAAAAGGGACCTTTTGTCAGAAAAAATTAATTTTTTATTGATTGGTGATTCTGATAGAAAAAAGTTTTCTCTATCAGAAACACCAATCAATAAAAAATCAATTTTTTCGGACAAAAGGTCCCTTTTAACTGTCCAGGTCACATATTATTCTTCTTTTGAGTAAATTATATTCTAACTGTAAGAATAAAAATATTATAACATATATTAAACATATGCTAAGATATTCTTAAATTTAGAGTATTGTTTTTTTCTATTTAAATAGGAGCCAATAGATGTATTCTTAAATTGATAATTTCAGTCTTTCAGTGTAAAATTGAACTGTTGAAAATTTTTCTCCTTACCTATAAGGAATTAAAGTACAAAATTTATTACTATTTTTTTATCGTCTTCTATGACCACGTTACTATAAAAAGCATCATATATATGAAAAATTTAATCTCCTACAATTAGAATCTGTAAATTTGCAAATAATTTGAAAAACAATTAAAATCATCACAACAAAACGGTTTTTGCGCCAATGAAAACGTAACATTTACAATTTTTTATAGATAATATAAATTTCACATATTTATTTTATTATAATATTTTTCTTTTATAAAGTAATACAAAAATCCCATTAAAAATTCTCTTCAATAATTTTCCTCATCCTCTTTGCCTGACACCAAAATCCTTTTATTATAAGGTGCGTATATGTTCGATGGAGGCTGCAATATACAATATGTAAATCAATGGGCAATTAAACGTCTAGAATTTAAATATACTATATATATATGATGTACGCATGGCACGTTTTTTTTTTGTTAATCGTCTCCTCAGAATCCTCGTATTTTATTAAAACGAAAAAGGAACACGACTTTCATCTTAAAATCCAAGGGAATAAAATCTAATTTTAAGATAAATAAAAAATATATATATTTATATATATATATGTTTATAATAAATGGTGAAAAAAATGTTCCAGAGGATACTGAGGTGATGGTGTCATTGTCTTCTTTTCAGCACTACGTTTACAGTCGACCCGGACACTCACATTGACAGCCTCGACCAGGCCGAACAGATGGTCCTTGAGGGTACAAGCAAGTGGTCCTGCAAAATCGCTATCACAGGTGACATATATACTCTCTCAAAAAAAAAAATAAATAAAAAAAATCACACTTAATCTTTCTCACAATTATTATAAATACACAATATATATAAATACTCAAAGTGACACTCAACTTTTTTAATATTTAAACGCACGCACTCACCAGGGAATGTTTTCAATTAAAAAGCAAAATAAAATAATTTCTTTTCAAAAATATATTTCTTTGCTCGATATCAATTTATAGAATAAACTTCACATTATTGAATCATTTATTTTTATAGTCTTGCATAGAGAAAAACTCAAAAAGAAAGTTATAGGTTATGTTCTAGATTGTAATTTTTTGGTAGTACTGCAAATTAGACCAAATATTACGGTAAATTACACTTGGGAAATATAAATATGTTTCTTGTGTAAAAAAATTTATTGAAAATATTAACAATTATTCTAGATGATTATGATTTTTCAACTCAAAAATTAGTTCTTAAATTTACCGCCATTATTTATAATTTTTTGTTACGCAATTGGTACATTTACTTGTTTAGTTTAGGAATGCCCTAACCTAAAAATTCTAGTATTTAATTTTTTTAAAATGGATTTTTGATATTCTGCTTCAGGAAGAAAAATTTTTTCCAATATAGAATTTGTAGAAAAAGAAAATAATTAACAATTCGTTAAAATTCATATTCAGGAACAACAATAATTAAAAAAATTTTTTAATTATCTGAAAGAATAATAAAAAGAACTTAAATACATATAACACAGTTATTTGTAATTTTTAAAGAAAAGGATAAAAAAAAATTGAATTTAGTAAATTACAAAAAGAATAATATAAAAATTGAAAAAAATATTAATTAAATATACAAACTAGTAATTAAAATACAAAAAAATAAGAAATTATGCAATATTTATAAATTTTTATAAAAATAATATCATTACATGCAGAGCATGATTTAAAGTGTGATAATAAATTACCACAGTATATGTCAGTTTCAAAAATATTACATTCTGTTTTATAATTACATTTTCTTTTAAAACGTTGAAAAGCAAAGAGTTGGAAATTTGGTAGAAGTTTATAATAATAATTCACATGCAAAGTATATATATATTTTTTTTTTAAAGTAATGAAATTTCAAAAATATTAACTTGCGGTTTTTGTAATTAAATTTTCTTTTCAAAGGTTGAAAATTGATGAAAAGCATAATAGTATCCCTTTAGGCATTATTCTATGTATAAAGGTATATACGCACAAAAACTAATTTTGATAATTTAGTTGACACATCATAAATTAGAATCAAATGACAATAATAAACCTTTGCATAAAAATTAAGAAAAAAGTGAACGATTAATAAAAGAAAACTGCAGTTCTTTTTATAGTTTTTAGAATCGCTGATTACGAATCTAAAGTCAGTTTTTCAAAATTCAAAATGGCGGATCCAATATGGCTGTCGAAAAAATTTTAAAATTGTTTGGACTTGCTTAAATCTTGGTCCACGGGGTTTTTAAAAAAAATTTCACGGATCTGGAGTATTGAATTTTTTTAATTATCAACATTGGTTTCGTAATCAGTGACTGCTAAAAGCACCCAGAAACAAAACTCAAGAAAATCTAATAAATATAAAAAATGATTCTCCGCTATTTTGAATTTTGAAAAACTGACATCGGTTTCGTATAATCAGCAACTCCGAAAATCCCCGAATTACTAGTTTCAAAGCATTTCGTACAATTTTTAAAAATATCCGCCATATTAGATCCGACAATATTTATTAATAAAAAATTAAAGAATTAATTTTTAGAGCAAATATTTATTTTAGAGAATTATATAGGTATTAGTATTTTAAATTATATAGAAAAATATGCTTTAGGGAAGCAAAGATATCTATCTTATTTTAAAAACTTTCCTCGAGTATTCAGTTAGGACCGTAGAGGCAAATGATTGCTGAACTATAATCACATCAAAATTCCATTGTATATGAAATCTCCGAAGTTACCAAAACTATTGCCACATAGTTGTAAATAGGACGCACTATATATTCAAATTATTGAATAATATTATTCTTGAATTTGACGCATATGTGCAAGTAGATTCTATAAACTTTTCAATAAAGTACATATACCTAGAGCCTGTTTTTGACTGATACTGAATAAATTTATAATCATCTTATATGGGAAACAGCTGAATATTATTTTAAATTTCTTAACCCTTTTTCTTTTTTGTTCAAAAAGAGTTTTAGAATATGCGCAAGGCTTTGACAAGTTTAATAATGGAAAATTTGTCTATTCTTTCTTTGATTCGGTCTTCATTTACATATATATATATATATATATATATATATATATATATATATATATATATATATAAAATGAAAATACTTACAATGAATGACATTTTACGTGCAATTTAATAAGCATTCTAAGAAACCCTTTCAAAAGCTTTATTATTTGTCATAAATAAGAAATCCGTCAAACAATCTGGAGCATATTTTTCACTGACATTTCTGCCCGGTACTTTATTTACAAATATAATTATATTTCTTGGGAACAATTAAATATAGTTTCAAAGTCCCTTTGTCACTCTTTTTAAAAAGATTTCAATATTGTGTACAGATATCAAAAATAATTATTAGGAATTATAAAATTTTTCTAAAAATAGGCGGCAATGGCTTTAGGTAAAAAATAATAATGGATTGATTCTCAAGCTTTCCCAGCAAACATTACAGAACTGTTAAAAATTTTTTGACATGTTCTGTAACTGGCTAAGAACCTGAGAGTCATTAGTTACGCAAAATGTCGTACCTACTCAGCAGATATATCAGATTCTGTAACAAATCTAAAAAGCCTTACAAATGTATTTGTATCAGTTCTAAAACTGTTTTATAACAACTATGAAATGGTATGTAACCATTATTGCAAGATTATTATATCACTGTTAACTCAAAAGTATCAAATTGCAACGAATTGATACCCAAAATGTGGATCAAATAAAAAAATTGATACAAATTTTGGTATCAATTTGATACTTTCATGAAAACTGTGTACCTAATAAATACATGCAAAACCTTTTTTATTCTTAAGCAGGAATCTGCTGCAAATTGAAGTCAAACGAGCTTTTACAAAAAAAATATTTTAAAACAATTTTTATAAAATCAGCAAACTAATTTTGAAGTATATTTACGTTACTACGAGTCACAAATGCAAAGAATTTAGGATAAATATCGTAAAATTAACGAGATATTGGCAAAAGACAATTGTTATACCGAGTGACTCACTAAAATTCATTTAAACTAAAATCATTATAAAATTATAATTATTTAAACGATTTTATGTGTATTAGCTATCTGTGAAACACACTATCACTAAGAATAACTAAAAGTAAAACCTTTATCAAAATACATTAAGAATTACAGATTCTATCCAAATTTGAAAAAACGAGAAAAATTTTGAAGAAACGTGATAATGATGCATTTGATTGAATATTATAAATAACTTTTTTTGAATTACGTAATATAATCAACAGTCTTTTATCTATGTTTTACTGTCACGGATGACATCAGATAAACAAATATTGCGTCAGAAATTAATTTATTTAAAGTTTTTGTGTAGCAGTTTTTAAATTTCGCGCCAAATTACGTTTAATTAAAAAAAATGCAATGTTACCTACCATGGTTCACGGAACTTTTGCTGAAATATTTATTTACTTCACTTTAAAAATCTTTTTAATATATTAATCTACGGTGAAGTCTCATTTAAAAAAATTTTACATTATTTTGGAGGTTTAATTTATCAAAAATTCATATTTCTAGGACTATATCTTTACTGCAAGTGTTCAAAAAAAAACTAAATTTATAGGTTTGGAGAGGATAACACCATAAAACACAATGTTAATTTAATTGCAAATATTTTCAAAACTAGACGGTGAAAATTCATTCATTCCATTTTAAAAAATTATTACGTAAAATTAATTAAACTTTATAACATATTTCAAAAGCATCAAAAAATCTTTACTTGTTGTTATGACATTAATAGAAATATTAAAACTTGATGTAATAGAAAAAGGAAACCCCTAAAGTAAACTATAACAACAATCTAAAATAAACATTTAGTTATAGAATTATTTTCATTTGTAGGTATAAATGTCATCCAGAACTGATCTGAAACAGAATTTTAGAACAGCTACATAACATTTTTCGGAATATTGTGTTACAAAAATGTTACAGAACTGTGTCGTACGCATAATATAGAACGGTTCTGTAATGGAACATTTATAGAATGTATTTGCTGGGATTGTTGTGTGTCAAGAAGAAAGCAAGATTTTATTTATTTATTTGACTAATTTAAACCCTTAATACTTTTCATATAAAATAATTATCACTAATATTTATAAAATTATATATATATATATTACAAAATTTCAATTAATCAACATTATATATAAGACACGCAATATGTGGCAAAATCAAAGAGAATATCACAATGCTCTATAAATGCAGAATACGCTGCATTAATCACGTTTACGTTGGCGTACATTATACGAGAAGACGAATAATGGAAGATGTTCGTTGAGTAGAAAGCTTTGATCTAGTGTTTCGAATATATATATACATATATATTATATATACATATAGTGAAGCGCGATCACGTCGTATTGAATCGATATAAAGAAGCTTTCTCAACAATCGCCTTGCACCTGATCCGGATTTCCGGTTGCACTAGTGCGAAACTTGCATGACACGAAAATCGAGAGACCTGGTGGTCGACATGTATGCGAAAGCGAGATCGATAGTTCAACGAACAAGGAGACCACCCTCTCTGTCCGCCCCTTTTTCCTACCATTTCCCCCCCCCCTTCCCATCAAGCCCAGATTCATCGGTTCGCGGCCCCACTCCCTATACAACCACCCTCCCCCCCTTCCCCTTAACCCAACTTTTCATGCCTTTGCTATATATACATATATACTTTTCTGGGAGTATGTCCGCGTCTTTTTTTTTCTTTTTTTAATCTTTGCAACCGTCACTTTACGACTTA